GGCACTAGAGGTCCTATTTAGGATTTGAGACGCCACTCTTTTTAAGTCTCTGGTCCTCAGCCTTTTCTGTATCAGTAACACTTGAGGGTACCCACTACCCCTGGCCCTGATGGGCCTGCAAGCGCCGTCCCTTTGCACAGCACCAGGTAGACTGAAATTCCCTCTCAGCTCTTTGCCACCCCATGGTTAAGGTTGTCCATGGTGGTCACAGTGACAGAAAAATCCTTCTTTGGGAAAATCAATAAAAGTAAACAAACAATGAGATACGTAACAAAGGAAGAAAAACAAATGAAAGCCCAGGGTGTATAAGACGCAGTAAAATTTTCTGTCAGTCTCCATGATTAACCAGGCGTTATCCTCTCCTGGGACTGTGGGCAGGAGGCTGCCCTTCCCCACTGCAGCCACTGTGCTGGCATTCTCTGCATTGTCCCTTCCTTTCCCTCTCAGCTATCACAAAATGCATTATAGTGAGTAGAATCATAGAATCATTAAGGTCAGAAAAGACTGCCAAGATCATCAAGTCCAGCTGCTAACCTAGCGCTGCCAAGTCCACCACTAAACCATGTCCCTAAGCGCCACATTTACATGTTTTTTGAACAGCTCCAGTGATGGTGACTCCCCGCCTTCCCTGGGCAGCCTGTTTCAATGCTTGACCACTCTTTCAGTAAAGAAATTTTTCCTAATATCCAATCTAAATCTCCCCTTGCCCAACTTGAGGCCATTTCCTCTCATCTTATCACTAGTTACTTGGGAGAAGAGACCAACACCCACCTCACCACAACCCCCTTTCAGGTAGTTGTAGAGAGCGATAAGGTCTCCCCTCAGCCTTCTCTTCTCCAGACTAAACAACCCCAGTTCCCTCAGCCGCTCCTCATAAGACTTGTGCTCCAGACCCCTCACCAGCTTCGTTGCCCTTCTCTGGACTCAGCAACTCAGTGTCCTTCTTGTAGTGAGGGGCCCAACACTGTACAGGGCATTGTAATGAGTTGGAGTGTACCAGCTTCTCTGGTTCGTCTTAGCTTCCAAAAGTAGTACAGATTAGTGTATCCAGGTGTGCTGCTCTCAGGCCTGGGCCATTTTTAATTAACCCAGGGATTTTTTTTATTAGAGGAACAAAGGTAATAAAAAAAACCCTTGAAAGTTTGCAAACAATGAAGGGAGGAAGATTCAGTTTTCCAGCCTTAGAGGAGGAAAAGAAGAGGAAGAAATTGCGGACTGTACATCCAGAAGAAAAAGAAGATCTTTCAAACTGTTGGGGCTTACACATTTTTTTGGCTAAAATGATCACCGCATTTCTCTTTCTCCTGAGAAATATTTTGTGATGGGAAAGTGGAAATTAACTTTACATAAAACCATTGCTTTCTTTTTAAAGTATTTTATACATTGGACTCCCAGTAACTTCCTGTGCTATAGAACTGGTAAGAGACTCCAGAGTATGGATTATTGGGTTATTTCTCAAATGATTGATATCAGTCCTTCTTCAGAAGAGAACAGTTGAATGCAAGTGTAGGGACAAGACTAAAGTCAGGAGACCTGAGCTCTGCTTTTGACTTTTCCTCTGACTTCTGTAATCTTGATAGATGTGTGTATTTTGGGGGTCCTACTTTATGGTCTCTAATGAAAGTGACCCTAAACGTAGTCCTATTAAATTAATAAAACCAAAACTATAATAATTTCTGTTCAGTATAGAATTTACCTGTACCTATATTTAGCTACTTCTCTGTGGCTCTACTAATAATATTCAGAGTTTAATGAGAGACTTCTATGATATTTATGAAATACTTTGTGATTCATATATGAAATGCATTGTTTATTGTACACAGGCTGGCAATAATTTCTTGCCCACCTGGCTTTGCTCAGAAAATTATTTTTGCAGTCTGTGAAATCCACAACTCTTTATTATTTTCATGTGAAAAGCTATGGCTTTTGTTTTGTTTGTTTGTTTTTGACAGAATGTCAGGCTCTCAGATTTTTCCTAAAAAGATGAAAACTACCAGTATGGACAAAGACTTGCCTTTAGCATATATAGACATACTTTACTTGAAAGCATGGAAAAATACTTTTTGGTAATATAGAGTACTTCTGTTGGAAGATTTTAACTGAAGATTTTATGGCCTTTGGTAGCATCTGTTACATGTGTTCTGTAAAGTAATGTTCCTAACAGAGTGCAATGGTATTTGATGCAATTTCTTTCATGGGTCCTAGTGCAGAGGTAGCCCTCAGACTCTTAGAGGAAGAATTCCACTGACTCGTGTTTGGCTTAAATATTTACAAGGAGCAAGTGTATTTCAGAGTAAGTGCTTGTTAAAGGAGGAAAACTAAACAGGTCATTTTAAGCAGTTGCAGTAAGAATCACTATATTTTTATGGATATAATCTGTTTCTCAGAGAACTTGTACTTCTTTCAAAGGACTTGGAAGCAGGTCCTCCAGAAACTGCACAAAATCGGGATTCCAGGGAGCTGTTGAGGGGGAGGAAAGAAATTCCGACTTCCTCATACCTGTGTATAAGCCTTGCCAATATAGGTTGTTTTTACAGATAGCCAGTGGGTTTAAACGTGAAAATACAGTCTTTCTCATTTGTTTGGGGCAATTAGAATAGTAAGGTTTTATGTTTGCTACAGCAAGTATTTACAGCAATTCCGCAGTTTGCATGGAGACCTGATCACTATGTAAGAAACAGGTTTGGCAAAAGAGTGGGCACAGAAGTAGCATGGCACATACTTAATTTCTGGGATTTGATATCTTAACTTTGAACTTGAGCCATGTTATTTCAAAGTCTCTAGGCTGGGAGTATTGGCTTCCTCAGATGGGCTGGAAGAGGGGCTGTGATGAGTGCGGTGGGTTGTCCCAGCAAGGGAAATGGTGGAGACGTTAGGTCCTCATGTTTGTGGAGGTTTGGTGTTGTCCCCCTCAAAATGGGATTGGTTCTCTAAAAAGGGCTTGGTTCCTTGCTGCCTGGTCCTGGTAACCAACTTCTGGTTTGTAACTATAAAACAACCAAAGGACTGGAGAATTGCGTTTGCTCCGTTTGATGCTGCGTTGCAGTATCAAGTGGCAGTTTTGATGGTTTATTGCTTGCTGAAGCATTAGGGAGCCCTAGCTCATACTTACTTCATGCTTATTTCTATCTGGAATATGGCTAAATAACACCAGGGCTACATTTCCAGTTAGTCATATGCAGATTTTAGAAAAAAAATGTAGGTACAGTAGTAAGTACTCTATCAGAGAGACTTTAAGTTTATTTTTAAGTTCTTGAATTCATTGAGTTCATTCACGGCAGAAAATCTGCACAGAGTAGATTATCTTATTGAGGACTTCATCTAGAACAGCAAAAATGGTTGTCTGCAGTTCCTGTGTTGTCCCTCACCAAATGATTTTTTTTTTCTTGACAAAGTTGTTCTTTGCCGCTTAAATTAACTTCTGTATGCCTGTTACAAAGAGTAGTGGTGGAATGCTTTTAGTCCACAAATTATGGTTTCTGTAAGTCCTATAAAGATGTTTGGATAGTTTCCATGGACACTGATGTTTTGTTAAAATTTTTTGTCCAAATCAAGAACCGAATGGGACCACAAGTTATGAGAAGAACCTAGAAAGGAGGAGAAATAGGGAAAGGACTTCAGTGTTCCCAAACAACTCAGTCTGGTACCACCTGTCCCACATAAAAGTGAAATAAGAGGAATGAATTGAGAGTACAGCCTATGTGGAAGTGGGAGGATCAAGTACAGAATATAATGTCATTGTGATACTTCAGAACATTTCTGCAGTATTGCCTAGGAAACACACTGCCAGTTTGCAGTCAGCAGCCTACGCGTCTCATGGCTCCGAGTAACTGTTAGCATCTTGGGAAAACCCCTGGGACCATCTGTAGCTGTCTTACGTGTCACACAATCTCAGTCCTCAGAACAGGGTTTTTACATAGACATGCTTTTGCAAGCATGGCAAGCCCACAGAGCCCTTGTTTTGTTGTTTCTCTGCTTCCTCAGCACCTCTCAGTTCCAACTTGCACTTTTCTTCCTGTTCTGTAGGTACCGGTGCATCAATTGCTGACCAGGATTAGTTCTTTACTTCAAACTAGATCTTTTGATTCTCCATGTGAGATGTTAAGATAACTACTTTGTTACTAATCCCAAGAATTATAGGCTAGCTTTTATTTCTGTACATTCCTCCATGTGTTCTCCTAAAAAACTGAAAAAACAAATGATGCGCTAGGTTTCCGCTATCGATCAGGCGTATCAGTCTCCTTTCATGGGAGTCTGGAGGAGATGAAAATTGCCTTCAGAAGCACTGCTTTGCAGTGCACGCCTATGGACTGTTTGTCAAGATCCTTCAAGATAACTTCCAAACTTACCCTTGGCATATTTTGACTGATATCAAGTTACCACAGCACTGATTTGTTCAGCCAATGTATATGGCAGATGCCATATGCTTTGAATTACTTCAGGAGTTAGTGTCTTCTGAAAGAGACGGGATTTCAGACATAGCTTTACATCTCCTAACAACAAAGCATAAGGTAAGACTGAAGTATAGACTGCTTTGATTAGCCCCCGACTTTTAAATGTTGACTTAGAATGGTGGTAAATAAGAGAAGGGTTTAATTACTGTCTATGAAACACGCCCTACATCAGGCGGCAGAGCATCTGTTGGCCCACTGCATTGGAACCTGCTTTCTACATATTCTGAGTTACATCACCTGTGCATCTCCTTGGCGTTGGCCATAGGTGCCAGGCTGACAAAGTCTTTCTTGGACAGATAAAGAAATTTGGAAGTCCCTGAGGCATTCCACCATCCACAGTCGTTGGTGTGATTTCCTTCCCTAGCACGTAGGTGCAACGCTGTAGCTGCCACTTGTCAGAACTGTGTCGAGCTCATGGAGTGAATGTGTTGGAACCGAAGTTTTGTGTGAAGGTTAGCTCTCCATGAGAAATATTTATAAAAGGGATGCCTGGGTATCCAGTGTTAACAACAGAAACTGATTCTTTTTTTCTGTCTGCCTCTTTAGGTCTCCAAAAGGTGACATCCATAGTGAAGGATATGTCTTGGAGGTAGAGTGCTGCTCCTCTTTAAACCAACTTTCAGACAAAAAGGACATACCTGATTTTATTAAGAAAGTGAGTAAAAAAAAAGGGGGGGGGAGGGGCAAAACCCGAAACACAGTATCCTTTTATTTGCGGTATAATTACTGCAGTTCTGTCAGTCTGACAATAGGAATATGTGTACCTTTTGTGCAATTGAAATACTGCAGAATTGGTGTTTTGTAATTTTAAGTATCTGAAGGGCAATTATATTTATTGAAAGAAACAAGTTTGATCTTATTATTATGAGAAAATGGTTTGTAGTATCACAGGTGACCTCTCACAGATGACATCAACTAAGTTACCAATGTAGAAGACAGTCCTATAATGGACAACATTTTAAATTGAAACAATATATATAACTTCCATTTTAGTCTCAAAATATCCTATTGGATAGTACTGTAGCTAAAAGACCTATTAACTCCCGGAATCACCCAGAATATTTAAGTTTTAGTATCACATGATGTTAGCAGTTAGAGGTGGTACTGGCAACCTAAATCCCTTTGTTATCCAGAATAGCGTTGCTTTCCATAAACTTCTGTATATACTAGGGAATTTGAAGAGAACTCTGCAATTCTTTACTTGTTGCCTTCTTTTTAAAATTATTTTTGATGCTGTAATATTCTGCCAGATTGGAAATTAGCAGGTTATGTCCATTTTAGTGAAGACAGATACATTGTGCATGTTTCAAATTTTGCAGCATCTGTTGTGTCTTATTGCATGTTGTAAAAACTAGCATTAAATGCTGTATTTACGTAGCCACATGGTGTAAGAATAGGCATACAAAGTTTCAGCACAGGCTGTCTGAGCTTGATAGGGACTTAGCTTGACAGACTACACTCATGTTCACTCTTTC